TGTGTGTGTGTGTCTGTGTGTGTATGTGTGTGTGTGTGTGTGTGTGTGTGTCTGTGTGTGTTGATCTGTGTGTGTGTGTGTGCGTCTCAGGTCCCGTGGATGAGTTCTGTCTGCCGTTTGAGGAGGAGGCAGGTCTTCATCTGTCTCTGGAGGACATGCAGGACGTTGTTGTGCATAAGAAACTACGGCCGATATTCAGAGAGCACTGGCTAAAACATACGGTACTGCTACACAAACACACTGTCCATCGACACTGACTACAATATATTTTCAGAAACATTTTGCCTTTCAACACATTAAAGTCAACATGACCTCAGAACTGACCCCATTTTCTCTTTAATTCGTGTTCCTGAATGATTCATCAGTGATATTTATTGCAAAGAAAATAAGTCTTAATAATCTTTCATCAGAATGCAATAAGTGTTGACACATCTGAAATATCTTTCCTTCTCGTCTTTAATCCTACTTTTTTCCAACAGCCTGTCATATAGAGATACTTTTTATTATCCAATCAATGCTTTGTGTCAAGTAATAAAAAAATACATATAATATGAAGTAATAAATATATGAAGTTGTTCAATTGTATTTATCAGTAAATGGAATAAATATAAAAGTAACAGTAAAGTATTATTTATATACTATTATAGCATTTATTAATATTTTGGATTAGCTTTATTTTCATTATTTTAATTTTAGTAATTTTTTGTGCTTTTGCCATTTATTAGTTTTTTCCTATTTAGCTTTATTTTTATTTCAACAAAAATAAGAAATGTTATCTGAAATAAAAAGTGTACTTTTTTTATCTAATATTTATTTTTTTTGCTTTATTTCAGCTTTATTTTAAATAACATAAACAGTGTTCAATAGTTTTAGCTTTAGTTAACAGTAACAACTCTAACACATGTTGTTAGGAAAAAGTAGTACTTGTTAGAAAAAGTTCATGCATTTTGAGAAATATAAAGCCAAGGTTATAGTCAAATCTAAGAATATTTCCAATTTCAGATTGCATATTTCTAGATGACTAATCAAATGTAAGTGTATTAGTGATTTGGTCATGTGACCCAGATTTTCTTGCTTTTGTTGAAGCTCAAGATGTTTAAAGATGCACGATGCTCAGGTTTTGTTCATGTAGCTCCAGAAAAAGAGACACAGCAAATACTGAGACTTTCTCACGTGCCAAATCATTTAATCTGTGTATCTAGGGTCTGGCGATGCTCTGTGAGACCATAGAGGAGTGCTGGGACCACGAGGCCGAGGCGCGTCTGTCTGCGGGATGCGTGGAGGAGCGCATCATCTCAATGCAGCGCAACACCAACCTCATCGCCCCCGACGACATCCTCTCCGTCGTCACCATGGTTACCAACCTGGACTTCCCCCCTAAAGAATCCAGCCTATGATGCTGTTCTCTCAGCCAATCAGAACGCAGCGTGTGCGAGAGAACACCAGACTACAATGACTCGAACAAAACGAGTGCGGGAATAATTCAACGACTCGCACTTACACACAGAGGAACTCAAGAGATCAAACACACACGGACGTCTCTGTTTGCACCAAAACCTCTTTTATGCATAAAGGAAAGACTTTTGTGTTTTATATGAACAGCAGCTCATATGATTTTAGTATAAAAAGGGCGAAACTCTGGACTGCGTTTGCTGTTTCTTTTCTGCAAGTCATTATAGTCATGCCAATACGAGACACGGATGTATGCTGAAATAACCATGAACCTCCCTGAACAGGTATACCTCATTTTGATTTCTCGTGCTTTTTTCTGAACAGCTGCTACGGAGGCGAGACGAGTAGCTGTAACACACGCTAGCGTTTCTGCCTTTCACATTTCTGCTTCATTTCATCGCAGCCTTCACTGCTCTTTCTAAAGGGGTCGTATCATGAGGAATCAACGCTCGCTTCATTGAATCACAAAGGGTCCAATATTAACTTCTGCCAATGGTGGATGAATTCGGACAGTTTACCACTCGCCTCCATATTCATCAGACTACACCTGATACATTGTGTTTGTTCATATTTATCTTTTAGTGGCTTTATATGAGAAATAATCCAGCAGATCGAGTGCTGGAGGGTTCATGTTGACCCTACACTGCAAAAACGACTCGTTCTGCACTTCAGCTTTCTGATGTGAACTAGATTAACATCAGTGTGTTAACATGTTTAGTGTTGAGAAACTCGGGCCACCGAGTCGTGATGTCAAACTATGGAAGCTTAAAATAATGTAAAAGGCAATTGCAACTTTTTATCTCACAATACGGATTTATTTTTTTCACAATTCTGAGTTTATGTCTTGCAATTCAGACTGTTTATTTTGCAATTCTGAGAAAAACTCAAGACTTGCAAGATAAAAACCGAGAATTCTGACTTTTTCTTGCAGTTCAGAGTCAAATCTAGCAATATATCTCACAATTTTTGCATTTTATTATTTTTTTTTTTTTTCAGATTTTGGAGTTTACATCTCGCAGTTGTTTTTTTGTTTCCACCATAAAGTCCACAATAAAAAATATAAATAGTAATTGCAACTTCTTTTCTTGCAGTTGCAACTTTATATCACAATTCTGAGAAAAAAAGTCTGATATTATTAGAGACAAACTCGGAATTACAAGTAAACTCGCCCACTGTAAATTGCAAGAAAAAAAGTCAGGATTATCAGTTTATATCTCACAATTCTCACTTTTTCCAAAGAATTGCAAGATTCTTTAGACTTGTCAAAAAAAAGTCAAAATTGCGAAAAAAAAAGTTTCAATTCTTTTTTTTATCCCGTGGCTGAAATCAAACAATCTGAACACCAGCAGAAATAATAAGAGTAAAGTGTGAAAGTTTGTGCTGTTAGAAATGACATTATTATCCATCTGTCTCAATGTGATATATTTTTACAAAGAGACTGTTGTTGCAGGATGGAGCAGTTAAAAACTATATTGAACAGACAGCAAGCACTCATTTGACTAATTTCGCATCAAACGACATTTACATAGGCGCAGGAGCAAAAACCACTTGAATAACATTAGAAGCTGACCTTGTGGGAAAATAAATGCTAAGGCCCCTTTAATGACAGTGTTTGCACACAATCGCATCTTTCAGGGCTGTAAATCTGTCTAACGCCACATTCTCCTTCATCTCTGTCTCTCCATCTCTTTCTGAAGCACTACAGCAGTATTCAGGGACGCAGGCTTCTGCTCATACGGCAGTTATGCAACCAACATGCAGCAGTGATTGCAACTGTAGCATACAGAGTCTAATCCGCTTCTATTTATTTCATTAATAATGTGACGAACTCTCAGTACTGTGAAAACAAACACCGGTTATTATTGCCCTGAATGTGTTCGCAGACAAACCAAGTGTTGGGTGAGAAATAAGTGTGTAAAAGACATTTCAGATCAATCTGTAATTCCCCCGAACACACACATGTACAGCAAATGAATAATGTAAATATGATCGTTGGTTTTAAATTATTAGACTAGCATGATGTTGCGCTGTTCTTTTTGGTGTCACTAATCAAAAACAGTCCTTTATAAAGAAATTATTCCAGAAGATTGTACTGCTGGGTATTTTATACAACTTTTTTATTGTCTTAATATCTGCAGGCCGATAACTGATTATGCATGTGATTCTCTTTCTATAAATATAAAGACATTTTCTTTATACTCATTTTTCGTTAATGAATGATGATGATCTGATGAACTTATTCACCACCTTTAAATCATCATGAAATCTTCTCGGGCCTGTATACATGTTTATTCCACACAAAAAGGTATGCCATTTCATAAAAACACTGATTTATAAAAAATAAAATACGTTTTATATATATAGTTTAATGCCTTTTCATTCAAATATGTAAATATACAAATATCGATACATTTATGCAACTAATTCAAAAGGCATTAAAATAAAATATAAAAGTGCAAGCTTGGTATTGGATGTTACTTTCGGATGATTTTTTACTGGAATAAACACCAACCAGTCATACAGACTATATGATGACTCAAATGGTGGAAACGACTCCGGATGAAATTGATTACTCATAAAAATGGGAATATCCATGACAAAAAATGCAAAGTCATTCAATTATATGTATAATAAAAGTATTTGGAAATGGTTGAAATATTTTTTTTATGAATGCCACATCGCATGGAAGCCCATTTCTGCATAAAAAAAAAGAAATTGAATTGAAAGATTTTAATTAAAAGATATAAACTCAGCATTTTGAGAGAAAAAAAGTCAGAATTGTGAGATAAAAAGTCAGTTACCTTTTTAATATTTTTATCCTGTGGCTGAAACGGGCTTCTATAATGTCATGTCAACTAACTAAAATAACTTTTCAATAACGTTGTACAACATCCTTCAGGGGCCAGAAGAGTCTTTGAGACAAAGAAATTACAAATTAGCAATTATATTAACTTTTTTTTTTATTATTGCAAACAAAACAAAAAAATATATACATGCATTTAAATGTACAAAATGCATATTTCAGCAAGTAAAGCATGCAGCAGTGTTCAGCCGAAGGCCGAGAGGGCCCACTGTTTGACGTCTGTGGGGCATTGTGGGTACTTCTGCAGCGCCTCCATCACCTGACCGTGTTCCAGCATCAGCCGCATCAGCTGATACTCGCGCTGAACTTTACACACACCAGAGTCCACCGGACGCACCAGCTCCAGCTGCAGCAGATGCTCAAACGCCTGAACACACACCCGCGCACACACACACACACATACACACACAGACATGCACACACACACACACACACACGCACGCACACAGACAGACACAGATACACGCACACACAGACACAGACGCACACAGACACACACAGACGCACGGACACACGAACGCACACAGACACACACAGACAGACAGACAGACAGACACGCACACACACACACACGCACACACACTCACAGATACGCGCACACACAGACACAGACGCACACAGACACACACAGACACATGGACACACACGCATGCACACAGGCACACACAGACAGACAGACACGCACACACACACACACACGCACATACACACAGATACACACGCACACAGACGCACACGCACACACAGACACACAGACGCACACACACGCACACACAGACAGACAGACATGCACACACAAGATACACGCGCACACAGACGCACACACACACACGCACACACACAGACGTACACACACACACGCACACACACACAGACACACAGACATGCACACACACACACACGCATGTTTACTTTGCTATCTAAATGGGGACATTACATAGACTTCTATTGTTTTTATATACAGATAGTTATACACTTTTCTATACACACACAAACACACAGGTAAGCACCATTAAAAACCATTAAAAGAAAGAGACAAAATTTGTCCTTTAAGAAACTGTATACCCAAAAAACTTAACTGACAACAAAATTACTAAAACTTTCAAATGAAATAAAATAAAAATAAAGCTAGTTAAAAATATTAAATACTATAATACTATATAAATAATACTAAAATAACACTAACATGTTAATTTTTATATTTACGCCATTTACCAATAAACACAATTGAAAAACTTTATATTTTATTAAAACTATATATTTGAATTAAACTCAAATTAAAGTCATTATTTACTCTCCCTCAAGTCATGAATCCAAACCCAACTTTCTTTCATGAACATAAAATGAGAGGATGCCAGATCCGTCTAATTTATGAATGCATATTTTAGATCAGTTTTGTCAAATAATCAGTTGATTACACAACCGAAATAATTCAATCCAAAAGAATGATTCATTTACAAATTGGACATCATGAACATGCCAAGAGAGCTAGGTTTCCACTTATCGACTCAGTTTGTTTCATATTCTGTTCCCTGTTTAAAGCACAAGTACATGCATGAAAAAGAGAGCGGCTCCAACTGACCTTCATCACCACGGGCTTCTCAAACTTATGGATGGAGTGAGACTTCCTCTGAATGAACTTCTTAAACTCTGAGAGAGAGAGAGAGAGAGAGAGAGAATTACATTCATATGAGCTGATGCATGTATTGACCTTCACTGATGAACATTTACACACATCAAGGCTTGTGAAACACCAGTTATAACGTTCATGAAGATGTCGTACCATTATGGACCATCTGGAAATTGAAGGGTTCTCCGTCATAAGTGTCATTCAGATGCTTCATAGCAATAATCAAACACAGCTCTAGAATAGACAGACCTGGAAAACAGGCAACTCAGGGCATCAGAGATGAGCGTGTGCTTGAGACGAGGAATAAAAATCATCAAAACTGCAGAAAAAATCTCAGTTTCCAGTTTCTCACCGTGAAGGACGTTTGCTTTGGAATCAGCAGAAATCAAGCGACAGGCCTCTATAAGATCAGCCTCACGAAGAGTCGAATGAGAGACAGACACTCGACTGACAGCCAGAAACTACAACACACACACACACACACACACACAGGTTTACACACAAGAACAGAGATCTCTCACAGTGGTCTGATTACGAGATGATGAAACTGATGTAAATATACCAGCAGCGAATGCAGAGAGCGGAAATCTTTACTGCCATTAAAGTTCCTCCTCAAAATCTCCTCAACCGTCTTATCGTCACATAATTTCTACGAACAGAGAACGAGAGGTAAGAAAACATGATTGTATGTGGGTCAAAGACATTGAGATTTCAAAAGAAATTTACAAAAGTGATTTTATGTCCATAGAAAGCACATTAAATGTAAGTAAAGTGTCTACTTTTAAGCTTTTGGAGAATAAAATGTCAAAATTTGATTGAAATAATGTTACATTGTCATTCAGTGTAACACAATATTTATGTAAAAATTCAAATAACATGCTTAATCTGACGTGTACATGTTCAAATACATATAAAAAATAAGGGAGCATATTAAATTTTATTGTGTTTTATATGAGTACAAATTCTTACTGACAAATGGGCAAAACCTAGGAGAGTGGCAAATTTTAAAAATGTAAAATTACAACTAATTAGTATTTGGGGTGAAAGTAATTAGTCTTTTAATAGGTCATAAAATAATTTTTGTTGTAAATATGCCTAAAAAATTTAAAATTACAACTAATTAGTATTTGGGGTGAAAGTAATTAGTCTTTTAATAGGTCATAAAATAATTTTTGTTGTAAATATGCCTGACGAGATTGTTACACTGAATGTCATTTTAGTGGGTCTCCTCTATAAATCAGGGAAAAATGTATGATATTTATTTTTTGCTCAGAAAAACAAAAACAAAATTGCAATTAAATTAAACAGAATTTTTTAAAAAAATTGGGGGAAAAACAACAATTTCAAAGCAGTATTACACTTATTGTTTTTATGCTTAAACCCTTCTTCGTCTTTGACGCATGTATGATTTGTTTTGAGACACAGGTTGCGTCTGTACCGTGACGCTGTGGTTCCACTCATCTGAGAATTTGGGATCTGGAAAGTCCGGAGGCAAACTGAGTTGAGCACGAACCACATCCACATACTGACTGAACGAGAGCGAGCTGAACAGATGGATCTGTCTGTGAGAGAACCGAGACTTCACTCGCTTCTCCAGCAGCTCCAGCACGTCCTGGAACACACAAACACATGAGTGATTCGAGAAGGATCAGCTGTGGTTTCACATCACCTCATCTATAAGAGAATTAGAGCTACAACAACCAACCAATAAAAACTAATTAATAAAGTAGTGCACAATACATTTCAGTGGGGTTGAGTTTGCATGAAGAACCTTCATCATGTTTCTATGAAAAAACACATTTAACAAAAACATATGCCACATCATTTTTCATTTTTTACATTTAATTTGTTGAGTAAAGTAGCTTTAAATTTTAAACAATTTTTTAATAATGTTTTCAGCTCAACTTTTTTCCTTTTCTCTGTTCCTTACATTCTCAGCATTATATTTTAGGCCATTCTGTGCATTTAAATCATGCATAATTTTGTTTTTCATTTGCTTGTTATATTATAACCTTTATTAACAATTTTTGAAAAAATGCACAGAATGCACCGTTTAAAAGAGAGCACCGGGTAGGAGTTAGAATATTAAATTTGAAGTAGAATATTAAAAATAAAAAAATAATGACAGATACAAAAAAAAAGACATTAAATGATGATGAAATAGTAGTTGTCTGCAGTCCAAGCGTGTTTGTGTAGTGTTTTCAGAGCAGACGCACCAGTCTGCAGGTGAGTCCCACCACAGCGACAGGCGTCTGCGCAGACTGAGACACATCCAGCAGGTTATACAGCAGCGTCTGGTTCTTATGATGAGCGAACAGATCGAACTCATCCAACACGAACAGCACGGGACGACTGCTGCTCTTATCACCTGACACAGACAGAGGTGAGCAGAGGGTGATTAAAATAAAAACTGAAAATATTCAAATAAAAACATACAAAATATAGAGTAGTATGTAAACATAAATGTGACCCTGGAGCACAAAAGCAGTCTTAAGTCGCTGGGGTATATTTGTAGCAATAGCCAACAATACATTGTATGGGTCAAAATTATAGATTTTTTTTTTATGCCAAAAATCATTAGGATATGAAGTAAAGATCATGTTCCATGACGAGATTTTGTAAATGTTCTACCGTAAATATATCAAAACTTAATTTTTGATTAGTAATATGCATTGCTAAGAACTTCATTTGGACAACTTTAAAGATGATTTTCTCAATATTTTGATTTTTTTGCACCCTCAGATTCCAGATTTTCAAATAGTTGTATCTCGGCCAAATATTGTCCGATCCTAACAAACCATACATCAATGGAAAGATTATTTATCTCTCAATTGTACCCCTTATGACTGGTTTTGTGGTCCAGGGTCACATATAATAGCATATAATAGTATGTAAATAATACTAAAATGGCACTGACGGAGCCTCACCTTTCTTGAGAGCTTCTAAGAGAAAAGCCAGATTCTCTGCAAAGCTCCCCTAAAACACGAGAAAACCTCTCAGCACAAAAACATTAAAAACGACAGCAATTATTCCTCTAATAATGTCAGAAACTCACAAAGACTTTGTCTCCTACGACGTTCTCCAGGTGCAGCTGGCGAGTGATTTCTTTCAGAGCGATTTTGTCGTCTGTCTGCAGAAGACCTGCGCTCAGAAAACATCGCCGAGACGTGACACAGCTGGAGCTTCTCATTTCATCATTTAATACAGGAGCAGCGTTAAAGACGTGCATGAACTCACCGTTGAGCTCCACCAGAAGAACATTCTTCTGCACTTCCCTCAGACTCATGAGCTCTCGGAGGACACAACCCAGCAGCTTCAGACAGAGACGCATGAAAACACTTCACATAATTATGCCATCGTTTCAGAAATATTAGCTTTATTCATTTAGCACACTGCAAAAGCTACTTTCTTCCCCATTTTTGTCTCGTTTTTTGTTTTCAGCATTTTTAAATACATTTACCTGAGATGCAACATTAGAGGCATAAAACTCTTGTTTTCTGGGAAATGCAAATAAAGTGAGTTTCTGCTTTAAACGATACATGTCTTGATGTTTTGTACCATAGTTTTACCGGATCCTCGTGGACCAACAATGAGGACCGAGTTACTCTCTCCATGAACAGCTGTACGTCTCAGCAGCTCCAGCATGTGCCTACACACACACACACACACAGTGTAAGAATACACACACACACACACACACACACACACACACAAACACACACAGACACAGAGAGAGAGTGTAAGAATCCACACACACACACACACACACAGTGTAAGAATACATACACACACACACGCACACACACAGAGAGAGAGACAGTAAACGAGACGCACTTGTACTGGGAGTCCAGACCCACAGGCTGATCCGGCAGCTTCTGATGACACAGTCTCTCCCGCAGGAGCTTCTGAGCCTGAACACACACACAATCACACAACATCAACACACACATCCACACCTGTCCTGTACAGACACACACTCAGGAGCGAAGTCTGAGATCCCAAAACATCCGACAGACCAGAGAGACGCCCTGAGCTCCAGTGAGAGCCGCTGACCTCCGCTTGCTCATCTTCACCTGCACGCACACACCCCACACACACACACACACACACACACACACACACACACACACACACACACAGAGCATCTCCATTAATCATCTGCACAGATTACACAATACAGTCCAATACATTGATAAATATACAGGTACAGACCACATAAACACACCAGATACATAACTGACAGCTCACTAGGCAGGGTTTTCTCTATTCTAATATACCTTCACTAATTTCTTTTAAATGATACTGCAGTGTGGCAAATTAATTTTCAAAAATATTAATATTTAATGTAATTTTAAATGAATATGAGCTCGTTTAAGCTGCATGCAGAGTGATATTATTACAGCTGTCACTGCATATCTCTGGCTGTCTTTTGCACACTTTTTATTGTCTTTTTATTATATGGTATTTACTTTGATTCACTTTATTTTATGTTTGTATTTAACTCTCTATTGTAGCTCATTACAGAAACCTTATTTTACTCTTCTGTATACGGATGTATGTTTATGGATTGACTGATTTGAATTACAAAAGAATCAGAAACATTATTTAAAACAGTTTAAGATTAAGTTCAGGTTGTCAGGCCGCAACTCTTCACATACTTAGTAAATAACCTGTTAAATTAAGTTCACTGCTGAATTAAACGTGTATAAACTCACCAGTGCGGCTCCTGTGATTTCGCGCCACTAGCCCGCGTGTTTCCGGGAAGCGACATGTCGTATTTCCGGTGTCCACATGTTCGCTGACAGCAGGTGGCGCTCTGCGGCCCACGAAACCGAACTATGCACAGGTTGATTTTGAGCCTCAATCAATTCGCCATAAAATTTAAAGCACGTTAAACCTATTAATATTAGCCTACATTATATTGTAATTAGTTTGCATTTAATTAATGAATGCATTAACAAATGGTGCATGTATTGCATATAAATAACAGGGCCTGAGCTTGTCTTAACAGTAGCCTAAGTGTGAAAACTAGCAGGTGCAAAACTCCAGCAATGCAAAATGGCCTTATTCTTTATGATATCTATGTGTTTATAACTTTATCTATGTGTTAATGATTTCTATGTGTTTATGACCATTAAACTCCAACGAAATGCCACTGAATGCCAGTGTTTTCCAAAACCTTCTCTGCTTACTGGCCCGTGCTAGTTTAGAGTTACTGTATAACCTCTAAAATCCTAAATAAAGAAACATTATTTTAGTCTAAATTAATTTTATTTACATAGTGCATACTTGAACAGTCATTTAAAGCCTTGCGACAGATGCAGAACATATTTAAGCGTGCTGATGTGTTCAAAAACAACAAATCACCTGTCAATCTTTCACATTTTTAACCATTTAAAAAAAAAAAAACATTAAAAAATCATTATGAGTGGAGCTCGTTTATAAAAACACTGGTTCCAGTTGTTCTGAACTCCTGTCCTCCGTCACACAAAAACCCACGAACACAACAGACAACAACATATTGCAAACATCTGCTATTTTGCTTCTTCAGATGAGCATCTTAAAAAAAAAAAAAAAACCTATAATGCATATAAAGCTGTCAAAATGCGGTATGACCCTAAAATTATGGCAAAATTAAAAAGGCAAAAGTTTAGGATGAGTGCTGATATAAAGTAATGTGAAAGTATTCACCCTACTGTTCTAACATCACAGAAAGCAGTGTTCATTAGTAAATGTCTTTTATCTCTTTCTACTCTCACTAGCTGTTTTTGTGTCTATGCATATATTTTGAGAGTTTTTGAACTGCCATTTTTTTTCTCTTTTTTCTCTCTCAGGTCTAAGCATGTCTCCTGTCAATCCCTCACAGTTTTCAAGAAATTATATATACACAACAAGGCACAATGTAAAATCCATTCTTACTTAAAAATAAATAAGTAAAAAACAATTCTGCACTGTTGGCACTTGCAGCTAGCTTGCATTTGATCAACTTTGCAGCTCCTTATGATTCAGTTGCTTACGATGAGCTTTGTGTGGGCTGCTTTGGATAAGCTCGTGAATAAATGTGAGTATAAATGTACACGGTGAAACTTGCAAGTAAAACCCCTACAACGACACCAAACACTAATCCAGAGCAAGACCCCGAAACTCCGTTTTCAGCTCCAGCAACTGCACCGAGAAGTGCTCCGAACGCTCCCATCAGTATCATTACAAACGGTTTGAAGTCCATGGTGATTTTTGGCATGTCTTCCGAAGGTCTATGTTTGGGAGTCTCTATAGATTCTTTCTTCTCTGAATCTCCTTTGTCTTCGTTGTCTGTAAAAGAAAATAACAATAGATCAGTGCTTAAGCAGTCTGAATGTGAGAGCAGCTGTGGCTTTTGTGGAATAAAACTCACAGTTAGGAGGACTGTCCAGACTTCCACGTCTCTTCCTGAGCTCAGTCGCACCAGATGCTTCTTGTGTCTTCTGTTGAATCAGTACATAGTAAGCTTGTGGTATGAAGAAATCACCACGGTTTTCCTCCACCAGGTCGTCTATCTTCTTAAGAAGTGCATGAATCTGAGTGGGAGATTCACAAGTGCTTTTCTGAAGAACATGGAAACGTCTTCCACACTTTTCCAGGATTTTCTCTGCGCTGTGAATGTGTTCCCTGATTGTTAGTTCGTCCACTCCATCATCACAAGCAAACAGCACGATGGTGTGTTTCCAGACGCGCTCTGACAGTAACCTCGTGTGCATCTCTGATGCATTCATTTCAGGTTCTCCAGAGAGAGTTTTCACTGGTATGACCAGAAGCAGAGCGTGAGGTCCTGGAGGACAAAGTGACACGCTTCTGACAATTTCTTCTTTTATCCTCTCTGGTCGCTATTTTGCTTTTTCAGATGAGCATCTTAAAAAAAAAAAAAAAACCTATAATGCATATAAAGCTGTCAAAATGCGGTATGACCCTAAAATTATGGCAAAATTAAAAAGGCAAAAGTTTAGGATGAGTGCTGATATAAAGTAATGTGAAAGTATTCACCCTACTGTTCTAACATCACAGAAAGCAGTGTTCATTAGTAAATGTCTTTTATCTCTTTCTACTCTCACTAGCTGTTTTTGTGTCTATGCATATATTTTGAGAGTTTTTGAACTGCCATTTTTTTTCTCTTTTTTCTCTCTCAGGTCTAAGCATGTCTCCTGTCAATCCCTCACAGTTTTCAAGAAATTATATATACACAACAAGGCACAATGTAAAATCCATTCTTACTTAAAAATAAATAAGTAAAAAACAATTCTGCACTGTTGGCACTTGCAGCTAGCTTGCATTTGATCAACTTTGCAGCTCCTTATGATTCAGTTGCTTACGATGAGCTTTGTGTGGGCTGCTTTGGATAAGCTCGTGAATAAATGTGAGTATAAATGTACACGGTGAAACTTGCAAGTAAAACCCCTACAACGACACCAAACACTAATCCAGAGCAAGACCCCGAAACTCCGTTTTCAGCTCCAGCAACTGCACCGAGAAGTGCTCCGAACGCTCCCATCAGTATCATTACAAACGGTTTGAAGTCCATGGTGATTTTTGGCATGTCTTCCGAAGGTCTATGTTTGGGAGTCTCTATAGATTCTTTCTTCTCTGAATCTCCTTTGTCTTCGTTGTCTGTAAAAGAAAATAACAATAGATCAGTGCTTAAGCAGTCTGAATGTGAGAGCAGCTGTGGCTTTTGTGGAATAAAACTCACAGTTAGGAGGACTGTCCAGACTTCCACGTCTCTTCCTGAGCTCAGTCGCACCAGATGCTTCTTGTGTCTTCTGTTGAATCAGTACATAGTAAGCTTGTGGTATGAAGAAATCACCACGGTTTTCCTCCACCAGGTCGTCTATCTTCTTAAGAAGTGCATGAATCTGAGTGGGAGATTCACAAGTGCTTTTCTGAAGAACATGGAAACGTCTTCCACACTTTTCCAGGATTTTCTCTGCGCTGTGAATGTGTTCCCTGATTGTTAGTTCGTCCACTCCATCATCACAAGCAAACAGCACGATGGTGTGTTTCCAGACGCGCTCTGACAGTAACCTCGTGTGCATCTCTGATGCATTCATTTCAGGTTCTCCAGAGAGAGTTTTCACTGGTATGACCAGAAGCAGAGCGTGAGGTCCTGGAGGACAAAGTGACACGCTTCTGACAATTTCTTCTTTTATCCTCTCTGGTCTGAGTCTGTCCCATCCTGGTGCTTCCACAACACTGATCTTCCTTCCTGCTTCTTCACTCTGAAGTAAAGTACAGAGACCAACTTCCACTCCTGTCAGATTCTCACAGTTTAGGACTGATTTGACCACTTTATTCTCTCCAGCATTTCCTAAGATCACAATTCTGAGCTCCGAACCTCCTTTAAAGAGCAAATGGGAATCAAATTAATATTATTGCATGATGTTTTTTATTAATCAAAAATGTTTCATTGTTGGAAACCACACACAGATAAATTGACTCACCTTGAGGAGATTTCGTAGCCATGATCGCAGTATATGTGCAGCTGCTTCACAACATGCTCTTCATGGAAACTGATAACAAGAAAACGCACAGTTGGTTCCGCTGTGCTACAGGTTTCACTTAATACTAACAGACAGTTTATATTGCAGTTCTACAACCATTAACCATTAAGCAATGCCTCATCACAGAAGATGTAGCACTAATTGTGTAGCACTTATGAATGTTCATTTGTGGTGTGATTTCTCCAGTGAAATGATGTGGAAAAATATGTGGGGAAAGTGAACGTCATAACAACTGCTCAGATTAATTTAACATCGCAAGTAAAGGTACAGTTTAGCTGTACATTTTAGCACCCAAAATATATTGTAGTAAATTTACAATGTTAAGGACATTTTTAGAGTCTGAATCCTTTCACGCATGGCCTACATTTCCAATGTATTGCTTGATCCTGTCATAAATTATTATGCAAAATTAACATTATTATATCAACAGTTGGTTTCAAGACATAAAAGAGGAACACAACCACTTAAAGATGTTTATAAGTCCTTTTTTTTTTTTTTTTCGTTTAAGCTCCGGTGAGCCTATGTTGAAATGCTTATGAAACAGCAGAATATATACTTAAAAAGTTTTTTGTACATGTAAGCACAGAAAACATATCAAACATAAAGCAAAATTTGATATTGTACCTACCTCGCATTTGCTAGTTGTTTTTCTGTTCTTCTACTTCCTTATAAAAGAATACTTTCATTTAGGGTGCTGATGAACTTTGATCAATGAATGCAAATTAATGTTTAACAGTGGTTGGTCATAAGACGGTGGTGTGATCTTGCAGGAGGTGTGCGCTCCGTCAGAAGAGTCTGTCTGAAATGCCATTAGTGTGGACAAAATACTTAACCTAAATTAATCCACCCTTATATAAATCTCAGATATAGAGTAACAAATACATAAAGACAGAGGGGGAAAAAAACTTTAACAAAGATTTAATACATAAAGATTATTGCAAAAAAAAAAAAAAGGGGGGGGGATCAGACAAATGAGAAATGTTCAATCTATTGAAGTTGCTATTTTAAACAGATATGGCTTTCTGTGCTTCAATCTCATATTTAAAAAAACAGCACAAGCTCTCAGATCAGCATACAATAGTACTAAACTCACTGTAGGCGGCGTTGAGGTTTACTGTGTTTATGCCATAAATCCCTTTTCATTCTTGCAATATGACTACACATGGCCAACAAAATATAACCACCTCCTGCTTCCATCTTATTCAGAAAAAATATTTTATATAAGTGTGAGACTGTGAGGTAACTATGCATCATTGTTTGCCATGTTTGTTTTATTTGTCATTAGCAGAAAAGCAACTTTTAATTTACCCTATGAGGCAGGTTAACGATTGTGGATCCTGAAAGTGTTTTATATATTTAGCCTACCGTAAACTTGTGCATTACATAAATGTATATAAGAGCGCCTGGAGTCACATTCAGAAGAGCATGCCAACATGCTTTGTTAACATAGCTAAACATATCCCAGAAAAGCATTTCTCTTATGTATTTCTTGTGTATAAATATTCATTCTCCAGTTTAAGACATGCATACATAAGATGTAAATAAAAATAAAGATGGACTGTTAATGTTGTACAGTATGTAAACCTATGTATCTATGCAGTTACTGTTTTCTGCTACTTTAAAGATCAAGAAGGCAAGGACAACCGCTAGAATGCTTCCCAAAAGTAAACCAGCGCAAACTCCATATTCAGCTCCTGCGAATGCGCCGAGAAGCGCTCCGAAAACAGCCAGCGCTATCACTGTGATGGGTTTGGCGTAATGCATCAAAAGTGCTTGTGGGTCATTCACAAAGTCAGGTTTCCCTTTGGTCACTGTTAAAGAAAACAGCATTAGATTTGTGTGTAAGAGACATGTGAGAAACATGTGTTTGACATTAAGAAAAAATACTCACTGTCAGGAGGATTCCAATCTAAACTTCCGCGTCTGCGCCGGAGATCTTCTGTCTTCCACTCGAGCGGATCATAGTACGTCTGTGGTATTAATACATCACCACGGTTCTCCTCCACCAGCTCTTCTATCTTTGTAAAAAGCTCACTGATCTTACTGCGTCTCTCAAGAATGTAGGTTCGGCCTTTGCACTTTTCCAGGATTTTATTTGCTTTCTGAAAGTAAGCTTTGATGGCAAACTCTCCCACTCCATCATCACAAGCGAACAGGACGATGGTGTGTTTCCAGACGCGCTCCGACAGTAACTCCATGTGCATCTCTGCAGCTTTAATGTCACCTGAAGCAGGTTCTTCATCATTTCTCTTCACAGGAATGACCAGAAGCAGAGCGTGAAGTCCTGCTGGACACAGAGACACGCTTCTTCTGATGGATTTCTTGATGCTTTCTAGTGTTTTCTGCATTGAGTTCCATCCTGGTGCTTCCACAACACTGATCTTCTTTACAGCCTGTTCAATTTGATATAATACACACTGGCCCACGTTCTCTCCCGTAAGATCCCTGCAGCCCAGGATGGATTTGATCACTTTGCTCTCGTCAACTTCATCATTTCCCAAGAACACAACTCCGATCTCAGACAGATGAAGTGAGCCTCAGTTAAATAGAATTAATAATATTAATTATCACTTAAAGGTCACCTACCTGTTTTTGATGAGACTCCAGCAGCCATAGCTGTGTTACATCCGAGGCTAAAGGGCGGGTGGTTTGGTTGCAGCAGATGAAGCTGGTCAGAAATGCTCCTTTGGTTCAGTGGAGAAGCACTGAATAAAACAGCCAGCTGGTTCTTCTGTACTGCAGAGCCTCGATTTAATAAGCACAAAACTTTGATCCTGCTGTTTTAAAACAGTTCAGTTGAGAAATGACTCTGTTTTGCGTATATTTTGTTGAATAAATGTTAGCACATCTTATTTCATGTTGCTGAACAGTTCATTGTGCATTTGTGACCCTGGACCACAAAACCAGCCATAAGGGTCAATTTTCTTAAATTGAGATTTATGCATCATCTGAAAGCTGAATAAATAAGCTCTCCATTGATGTATGGTTTGTTAGGATAGGACAATATTTGGCCGAGAATACAACTATTTGAAAATCTGGAATCTGAGGGTGCAAACAAATCTAAATATTGAGAAAATCATCTTTAAAGTTGTCCAAATGAAGTTCTTAGCAATGCATATTACTAATCAAAAATTAAGTTTTGATATATTTACAGTAGGACATTTACAAAATATCTTCATGGAACATTATCTTTACTTAATATCCTAATGATTTTTGGCATAAAAGAAAAATCAATAATTTTGAGCCATACAATGTATTTTTGGCTATTGCTACAAATATCCCCCAGCGACTTAAGACTGCTTTTGTGCTGCAGGCTCACATTTATTTCTGCTCACATAACCCAGAACTCCCTAATATCTAGAAGTATAACTGAAGTTCTAAGCGTAGGTTAATAAGGACAAGCTAAATGCGCATCAGACTTCAATTATCTCCCTTAAATGTTCACTGAAATTACACGATTATTATAACGAATGCAGCTTTGCCTAAACAAAGAAATGACAATTATCAGTCAATTATGTTGTACTATTATGCATTTATAGTAGATTCTTATTATTATTATTATGTATTAATATAACAAGAAAGGCACCGTTAGATTTCGAAACAGAAGCCTGCTGCATCCGTCAATAAACGCCAGTCATGTAATAACAAATCGTTTTTATATTGTGATCACAGCAAAGATTTGAAAACAGTTCACTGAAGAAAGTAAAAGATGTTTTAAAACCATTAAGTATTGTATTACGTACCTTGCTCCGCTGTTTCAGTTTCGGTCTAAGCTGCTCTCTCTCTCTCTCTCTCTCCATGTGGCTCTTTTCTCTTCTTGATATCATTAGAATTTTTATAACTTAAACATATTTGTAACAAAAAATAAATTTGTATTTTTGTAATATATATAAAAAAATATATTAAAATATATTAAAAGCTATTGTCTTATTTATCCATCTTTTGAAACGCTGATTGATATAATTTGCTCAAATAAGAAGAATTTATAGAGAGACAAAAACCAACAACTCAAAACATCCCAGAATCCATCAGATCCTTTGATGATGCGCCACAAGAAGTATTAATCACGTTTGCTGTCAGAAAAAAGTTACACAAATTCAGTGCTTTTAAAACATTACATGCTTTTAACGCTTTTTAAAAGTTTTTTTTTTTTCAAAGGTTCATGTATAATTCATTTATAAAATGTACGTTTTTTTTCATTAATTAGAGAATAAAAAAAAAATAAAAAAATAATGCATAGTGTATTATTCTTCACTTTCCAAAAATGGCATTGTGAAAATAAAAACACATTAAATACACCATACTCCTCACCTCACTTTTTCAAAAAAATTCTACCATACACCGCTTTTCTGTTAATAAAGGTTTCTAAATCCTTCAAGTAAATACAATGATAAAGCAAATGCAAAACTGTGTTTCTTTTTTCAGCTTTAATCTTTCCAAAACACATTCCAAACAAATCCTATATGTAGCATTGTATAGGACACTTTTTTTTCTTCTTCAAATTTTGTCATTGCTGCATCTGTTTCACATTTTCCCAATAGATATTACCAAATAAAGAAGACCAAAAAAAAAATAATCTTGCAGCAGGAACAGAGACAGAAGAGCATTTCTAAAACTTACTGACCTGTGTGCTGCTGTTTTCCCTCCAAAATGATGTCACTTCCTGGAGAATGATGCCATCCAGGAACTGGCTTTTGTCAGATTTTAGGACGGAACGTGATATTGAGGATATGGAAACCTTTACTATAATCAAAGCTTTATCAATTTTTCTTGAGTCATTCAAAATGAATATTCAGTCAAAATATTTAATATAAACAACAAATTAAGATAATGCCTACATTTGTTCTCAAGCCATTGCAATTTTGCCTGGATGCTTTGAGAGGGCAGACATGTTTTAATAATAATACTATTTTTATTTGTATTTAGCACCTTAGAATACATTATTACAATTTCTGTTCCACAAAACAATTATTTAAAAAAAAAATCTTTTTAATGTGTTCAATGATACATTTTAAATACAGATATGTTGTACTTTAGTATTTTATATTGCACAAACTAAAATTCTAAAAATGTGTCAGTAATCAGCAGATCCTCGTTAAGACAACAGTCTAAAGAGGAATATATTTAAAGTTTCCATTCATTGTTATGATCACACAAAGGTTTGAATAAACAAAACACCATGTTTCCACGGCAACAGAATTGTAATTATTTTACTCCTCCTCAAAGGATCACAACATACTGTATTTACGGTTTAGTGAGCAAATAAGACGCAGCTAGATGTTAGGAAGAAAACAACATCATATCCTATTAGTTTAAAATAAAGGACACGTCTTATGATCCATGAACACATTTGCATTGACATACATAACAAAAATATGAAATAAAAATGAAAACAAATAGTTCATAGACTCTTGTTTGTATGTAAGGGCCGGCAGGTGCGGTTAATGACACACGTGTTAGTAAAACCATCAAGTAGAAGTGGCCCTTTAAACAGTCAATCTGAGCTTCAGTCGCCGTGTTTCAGTTGAAATCAGTGTAAAGGAGCTTCTGCTTTAAACAGCAGACGTCAAAGGCCTTTGGTTGGTTACAGTGGGTCACAGAGGTCAGAGGTCAGTGTTTAGGCTCTCTTCCAGCGGCCGTCCTCAGCGCGGCGGTACAGATGCGGAAACAGCCCGTCTGCGGTCGGATGATCCAGCAGAAACTGGATGGTGGATTTGATGTGATGGACGAAGTGAGGAGGCTCTGCATGTGGAGACGTGGACAAATACTGACCAGACCAGAAATCAATGAGCAGAGCCAATTCATCCTGTAGATCTGATGAAACACATTACATATGTGACTCTGCAGCACAAAAGCAGTGTTAAGTCGCTGGGGTATATTTGTAGCAATAGCCAACAATACATTGTATGGGTCAAAATTATCGATTTTTCTTTTATGCCAAAAATCATTAGGATACTAAGTAAAGATCATGTTCCATGAAGATATTTTGTAAATTTCCTACCATAAATATATTAAAACTTAATTTTTGATTAGTAATATGCATTGCTAAGAACTTCATTTGAACAACTTTAAAGATGATTTTCTCAATATTTAGATTTTTTTTGCACCCTCAGATTCCAGATTTTCAAATAGTTGTATCTCAGCCAAATATTGTCCTATCCTAACAAACCATACATCAATGGAAAGCTATTTATTCAGCTTTCAGATGATGTAAAAATCTCAATTTCAAAAAAATTGACCCGTATGACTGGCTCCAGGGTCACAAATACGAGTGAATGTGAGCAGCGGTGGGTTTTCAGACCTGTAGGATGGTTTCATCATCTTGGGACAGCCAGAAGGCCATGTTTGGTGTCCATCTGCACGGGTCGATTTTCACAAGCTCTCTGCTAGAGTCATACACGTCAACCATCTGTCACAAACACACTCCGATATTTCAGATTACACAACAGTTCAGTCCGCCACTTCTGATTGGTCAGTCGCAGCATTCTGCAGTCAGATATTATTAATGAGTGCTATATATTGCATGACGGCTTCATCTATGCACCTGTGCACCAGAGAAGGTGCGAGCGGATCGGAGCTCCTCCGCTGGTCCTCGACAGGTGAACGAGGCTGGAAACACGTGACCCGTTTTAACGTTCACTCCTGAACTCGGACAGAAACGCTCTGTCAGTGTCAGATGTAAGGCTGTACAATTAATCCAAATAAAACTCAAACTGTGATATGGCTTAGCACAACTATCTAATCACAAAGGCTGCAGTTTAATTAAACATAAGCTCTGTGTGTTTTAGAGTAAAGTGCGACACTGTGTTCATTTACACGCGAGCAGCTCGTGTGTTTTCAGAGTCTTGAAGTGGTTTAGTTTGCAAATAAATATAATGCCTCTCCACACAAACTCTATCTCTGCATTCGCTCTGAGTTTGAATCGCTTGTTATGTGCATCTAGCAATGAAACGCACACCAAACATCTTCACAAACTTGACCTCTAATTACTGTGTGTGGGTCAAAGACGTTGAGATGTCCGCATCAAAAGAAATTTACAAAAGTGATTAGAAAGCACATGAAATGTAAGTAAAATGTCTACTTTTTAGTTTTTGGAGAATAAAATGTCAAAATTTGGTTGAAATAATGTTACATTGTCATTCAGTGTAACACAATATTTATGTAAAAATTCAAACAACATGTTTATTCTGACGTGTACATATTAAAATATATAAAAGAATAAGTGAGCATATTACATTTGATTGTTTTAAATGAGTAAAAAATTCTTAATAACAAATGGGCAAAACCTAGGATAGTGGCATATTTTAAAAAATGTAAAATTACAGCTAATTAGTATTTGGGGTGAAAGTAATTAGTCTTTTAATATGTCATAAAATGATTTTTTTGTTGTAAATATGCCTGACGAGATTGTTACACTGAATGACATTTTAGTGGGTCTCTTCTGTAAATCAGGGAAACTGTATGATATTTATTTTTTGCTCAGAAAAACAAAAACAAAATTGCAATTAAATGAAAATATTTTTTTTTTTTTAATTGTTGGGGGGGGAAACAACAATTTAAAGTAGTATTACACATTGTTTTTATGCTTAAATCCTTTTTCATCTTTGACCCATGTACACTATATATATATATATATAACATGGACGTGAATGTTTTTAACATCAAGCTGCTGGAGCGTATGCAGAAAAGTGCATTTGTAGATTTTTTTATTTATTATTGCTTCATATTTTCGCAGTTTACCACAATAGACCTGCTGTGTGAATTATTAAAAATAAACTTATAAAAGCACTCGTAGTCTGTATGTGATCTAATTAATATGAGCTCTTTTTAAAAAAAATACATGCATAAATATGAGAAAAGCAGTTGAAATTTGTTCCAAATTAGTTTTAGACCAAGTACCAATTAAATAAATAAATAACTGATTAAAATAAATAATTTTGTACACAGGCACACACTATCTATATATCTATCTATCTATAGTCTATAATAAAACTAATGCAAATATGAAAACTATGCAAATAGAAAATATATATTTTTAAAAATTGTGTGTGTTCATATATAACAATTTCTAAAGGATTTCTAAATTGTTGTTTATCTTGTGCATCACATGTATTGAAACATAAAGAGAAAGAGGGTCTGTGTGTATTGCATACCTTACCGTCTGTGCATACATACTGCCGTATAATATTTCTTAGAATATTAAAGTGGCTCTGATATTATTATTTTGTGTATGATTTTGTACCTTCAGATGCGGGTGTTTGCTGAAGAGCTCCGCGGCTGAGCTCACGCGCTCTATTCGCTTATTCCGAGTCAACAGCGGCATCCTGACAGAGATTAAACCCGATCATCTGATCTTTTTATTAAACTCTGATCATTAATAACTCTGTCACACCGCCGCGTTCTCTTCCGCTCTGCGCACACGTCACAGCTCACGTGACTCTGAACAGGAGAAATGATTCGCTAGAAAGGACATTAACCGGAAGTCAGTTTAACATTAGAAAGCAATCTAGAGGAAGAGCCGATGCGGTGTCAGTATGTGCGATACACCTCTAGACCGACAGGCGGCGCTCCGCTAAATAAAATTTTATTTGCTTCCAGCTAGCTTGCTTTAATATGAAAAATGATCATAAAACAGTGGATTCTGGAGCAGTTTCATATAGACGCTGTTTCTGGACAATAAATAAATAAATACATACATAAAAAAATACAAATACTTTTTTATATGTACTGCAGACTAAACGTGTGATAGTCGAAAAAAATTAACTGCTTCAAATAAGTTTTTAATAATTAACGTTATTAGAATAAAAATATAATAAATAAATAAATAAACAAATTATAATAAAATAAATAATAATGAAACACATTATAATAATTAAATAAATCATTAAATAAATAAATAATAATAAAAATAAATGAATAAATAAATAAACAAATTATAATAAAATAAATAATAATGAAACACATTATAATAATTAAATAAACCATTAAATAAATAATAATAATAAAAATAAATAAATGAATAAATAAATAAATAAATAAACAAATTATAATAAAATAAATAATAATGAAACACATTATACTAATTAAATAAACCATGAAATAAATAAATAAATAAATAAAAGGATATTCCTCGGCTGTTGACCAGCAGGAGGCATCAGGTCCCTCTTCACTGCTGCTGAGGATTTACTCACATTCTGTGTTTGGTTTTGATTAAGAGGAACTTCTTTTCTTTCCTAGCTCTTGAGAAATGTTTAAGAAATGTTCAGAAGAGTTCATGTGTAATCCATGTCCTGAAACGAACACAATGTACAATGTCCTAATATTTAAATAAGAATTTCACAGAATAAAAAATATACTACCGGTCTAAAGTTTGGGATCAGAATGATTTTTATTGTTTTTTTACAGGGGTTTCTTCTGCTCATCAAGGCTGCATTTATTTGATCCAAAATACAGCAGTAATGGCAAAGCTGTAATTTTCAGCATCATTACTGCAGTCTTCAGTGTCACGTGGATCTTCAGAAATCATTCTAATATGCTGATTTATTATCAGAGCTGAAACTGTTGTTTTTGGAAACTGTGATACTTTTTTCAGGATTCTTTGATGAATAAAAAGTTAAAAAGAAGAGCATTTATTTAAAATAGAAATCTTTTCTAACAATATACACTACAGTTCAAAAGTCTGGGGTCAGTATATTTTTATTCTTTCTTTTTTTTTTTTTTTTAAGAAATTAAAACTTTTATTCAGCAAGGATGTGTTAAATTGATAAGAAGTGATAGCAAAGATTTATATTGTTAGAAAAGATTTCTATTTTGAATAAATGCTGTTCTTTTTAACTTTTTATTCATCAAAGAATCCTGAAAAAAAGGATCACAGGTTCCAAAAAAATATTAAGCAGCACAACAGTCTCCAGCACTAATAATAAATCAGCATATTAGAATGATTTCTGAAGATCATGTGACACTGAAGACTGGAGTAATGATGCTGAAAAT